TTTTTATGTAATTTCCATATTTTCGGGCCCGGCACGGCCAGGTGATTAGGGCGCTCGACTCGCAATCTGAGGGGGTCACAGGTTTGAATCCCCGTCTCACCCAACATGCTCGCCCTTTCAGCCGTGTGGGCGTTATAACGTGACGGTCAATCCTACTATTCGTTGGTGAAAGAGTAGCCCAAGAGTTAGCGGTGGGTGGTGATGACTAGCTACCTTCCCTCTAGTCTTACACTGCTAAATTAGGGACGGCTAGCGCAGATAGCCCTCGTGTAGCTTTTAGCGAAATTCAAAACAAACAAACCATATTTTCGAGGTCCTCTAGTTTTCTCTAGTCTTAAGCATAAAAATTACATTAAACTTTTATGCGAAAGTCAATGGATGATCAGAGAATGAAGTTCAGCTGCTGTACTTTCCTTTGCTTGATAAAAACCAGGGAATTTCTATTAAAGGACAATAAAAATGAACTAACTTTTAAAATAACGTATTTTCAGAGCTGTGTGTGTCAAAACAACGAAAACTCTCAGTAGTTAATTATGCTGCTGAGCCTAAATAATTTAATTTAAACTGTGAATAGGTGTTTATTATCAGAAAACACAAATAACCATAAACTAAAGGAACTTATGTATAATTTGACCGATCCATTGACATTTTTTTGGACTTTCTTTTACTCCCACCGTCTATATACAAGTACCAACAAAAAGCAAAGACAATTAACTTAGAGGGCGCTGACACTTACCGATGAAAAACATGGCTGCAGCTGGTCCTAGAATAAGCATGATAGCATACATCTTGGCTTCTTTTTGATTACAGGGACATTCAAAGAAAACTTCATTAAAAATGGCTTCCCCGCTAAAGACAGTTCCTATCTTCATTAAATTAATCAGCGCCACCTGATATTCCTTAGCTAATTCTGTGACTTCAGTAATTAAATTTGTCATTGCCCTTCACAGTAGCAGAGATTTCTGTAAAACACTACAAACATAATGCATTTCGATTACTAAAACTTTGTACTTCCCAATCCAATGACCTCTCTTTACAGAATACATTTATCAAAAAGATATTTACTAATACAGCTAACTTTCACTTTGTCTAATAATGTAAATTAAATCTTAACACAGTTACGCTAAAGTCATTAACAAGTTTTTGGCGATATATGAGCTAGATACACTTGAAGGGACCATCAGATCATTAATGAAATGTGATATATACTTATAATTAGTCTTACAAGATTGTATTTTGTGAGGTGTTCTAATATTTTGTGTATTCTTTTTAGAGATGCATGCAAGAGGAGGGCCTTTATAATTTATAATGATGCTCCACCTATAATATTTTAATTTCCATTTGTAACCTATTACGATGAAAGAAAAAGGAAGTGAAGGGAATATATAACAATGCTTAAATCTAATATTTATAATCAAAGAAACAGTAAAAAAAAAACAATAAGCAAAATTTATCTATTATTTTGGGATTACAGTTTTCTTGAAAGAAAGCTGTCAAAATTAAAAAAAAACACCAATGGAGAATCTCAATAAATAGAAGTAAATCGGGTTAATAATAATAAATATATATATAAGAATATTGAGTCCTCCATTAGTTGCTTACTTCCAACAATGTATAGCACACACACACACTATATATATATATATATATGCCAGACATACTTTATCTGCCATATTTAGTGTCGAATATCAGAGCTCATCAGGCAGACTAGGGTACAACAGACATATTAGTGGTAAATGGCATACTTTCTTGTTCTTCATATATATATACTACTGATTTCTTTTTTTTCAAAACAAATACTAGGAAGAACGAAAGTAATTATTAATAAAAATATGCACAAAGGAATCTGGCATACCTCAAGAATGGGATGTAACTCTTTGAAGCAATGATAATCTAACTAACGAAATACGAAACTGTCGGCTACTATGGCTTAGTTCTTCCCGTTCCTGTATTAAATGATAACCAAGTTCTAAGCGAGCGCATTTGTGTGCAGACAAGGAAGTATACAAACTTCCTGTTTGGTCCCTATTGGTTCTAGTGGTCGCGATGAAAACCGAAAGCAAGAGTAGAAGTAGTTATTATCTTAAGTTGTACAGTTTTTACGGAATAGCTATAAGAAAAATAACGTCAATAAACAATTTTTTTTGTTGCAAGACGCTTATCTAAGAATGCTTCTAAAAAAAGTCGCAATCAGACCAAATGAATTGTTTTTAATCGTTAGATGTTCACTTTCGTTGAGGGGTATTCTAGTTTCAGTTATAACGCTTGAATTAGCAAGGGTGTAAGCCATTATGCCATAGAGTTAATATAAACGTCGTTTCGAACTCCATGCATAGGACCTTCCAAGACATAAAGGTTTGTTTATTTTGAATTTCGCGCAAAGATCCACGAGGGCTATCTGCGCTAGCCGTCTCTAACTTAGCAGTGAAAGACTAGAGGGAAGGCAGCTAGTCATCACTACCCACCGTCAACTCTTGAGTTACTTTTTTACCAACGAATAGTGGGATTGATCATCCCTATATAACACCCCCAGGGCAGAAAGGGGCGAGCATGTTTGGTGAGACGTATACGTAATGTGTAAAGTTTCATTCATCCAGTTATAAATATCGTATAAGTTTCAATACAAACAAGAAATCTTTCATAAACTACATCTTAAATTTAATGCAATTACACAACATAATAGTATTATTAGGCTAATTAGCAACTTGATAACACAGACCACATGAATAAAATATCAGACACATGAAGCTTTGTTGTTGATTATGTTTTAATGCATTGACAGAATCTATTACATACACGTGAATAGTTAGATTAATTGAAGTGCCATCCATATCAGAAGTAGTAGACTATCAATATATGTCTGTTAGATACATTACCTCAGTAGACAATTATTATAATCCTGTAGACACAGCAGACTCACTAATCTCTCAAAACCTGTAGGATCATCAGACTGCATATCAAATACCAACAATTCTACTCTTATACATCTAAGCTGTTCAATATACGTATCCAGTATATCACTGTAAAGACACTTCTACTTAGAAAAAGCTCACGAAGTTAGAATATTAAAGGCTGTTAATTAGACTAGTAGAAGGTTTAAAAACGTTTTCAAAATAAGACTAACAAAATGTGTAGGACGTCTCAGACTGACCTGCTGAAAGAATCTGTTAGACGTAACAAACTCATTTGATGCCCCAGATTAGAGGAATGTCAAACCCATCATACTCAGTATATAGCATGAGAACCTGTTAGACTCATCAGACGTGCCAGATTAGAAGAATGTGATACACGCCAGACTTAGTATACAGCATGAGAACCTGTTAGACTCATCAGACGTGCCAGATTAGAGGAATGTAAGACAATCATATTCAATATATAGCATGAGAACCTGTTAGACTCATCAGACGTACCAGATTAAAAGAATGTGATACACGCCAGACTTAGTATACAGCATGAGAACCTGTTAGACTCATCAGACGTGCCAGATTAGAGGAATGTAAGACAATCATATTCAATATACAGCATGAGAACCTGTTAGACTCATCAGACGTGCCAGATTAGAGGAATGTAAGACAATCATATTCAATATACAGCATGAGAACCTGTTGAACTCATCAGAAGTGCCAGATAGCGCAGATAGCCGTCGTGTAGCTTTGTGCTAAATTCCAAATATGAGACATGAGATGAGTCCACTGAATTCAATGGAAAACCGTTTAAAAAATAGTCTGGCAGCAAAGCGACGATATTTTTATAAGCTAATGGTGAAGCACGGTACTTAAACCTTGATTTTTATACACAGTTGCAGTTTTCTTACTAATGGACCCCGACCATGTAGGCGACATATTCGAAATTTATATATATATATATATATATATATGCTATTTTATGCCATATAAACCTTCCACAGTGCTTCTGTACGGAATTGTAAGAAAAAAATAAAAATAAAATCTTGAAATATATAATAAAACCATTGTTGTATGTGGATTAACCAATACTTTTTTAAATATTTCTTTGTCAGTTGACTGTGACGAAACACCAAAAATACATCCATAAAAATATATTTTATGTGGATTCCGCATTAAATATAAAGGGTTTCATTCTGAAATGGAACTGAAAAAAAAACAATTGAAATTCGTGGCAAAACAATTATTTTATGTGAATAAACCATTAATTTAAAAATTACTTCTTTACATAACGACTGTAAAAAACACTAGAAATACATGCATAAACATATATTTTATGTAAATGTCACATTAATTGAAAAGTATTTCTTTGTGGAATGACAATGAAAAATGCAATGAAATGCATTCAAAAACACTTACTTAATTTAAGGGTATTTTCTTGTAGAATAACAGTAAAAAATTATAAATACAGTTATTTTAACACACGTTCCAGTAAAATTTATTTAGTACCGAATTGCTGTGAATTTAAGATTAGTTTAAGATCCTAAATTTGTTTCTACTGTTTGCCATCTTTTAGGCTTACGTAACTTTGCTACTAAATTTATAGAAAAACTGATAATAATATAAGTAAATTATGATAAAGATTGATTGGTAAAAAGTAAAAACCGTTTAACGTGTGATATATATAATTGTACAGTATTCTTGCTATAATTTACTCCAATTTTACATATGAAAATTAAAAGAACCCTTGAAAATTCGGGTAACATTTAAGAGAAGTAAGGGAAATTGAGTGAAAATATAAAAGCTTTTATTTCGGTAATTCAGTCGATAATAACATTCAGTTTAGAAGAACTCAAATTATCAACCAAACCAGTATAAAGGCTAAAAGTATAGTGCTGCAACCAATTAAAGGATATTAAAAAATTCTACCCAAAACATTTCAATTATTGCATTTATTATACACACAATATATAAAAAATATTTAAAAGTTTTGAATCACGATAAACCTTTTTTTGGTTTACCTTTAACATTTGATGTCATAAACATATGCGTAAGTAAAGTGTCTGTACGACGCTGTCAGAGATAAAAAGTTCACCCTGTCTACATATACGTCAAACGAAATAAATCTTAATTTATCAACTACTTCATTCTTATGTAACGAAACAACTACATAAACGTAAAGAGGCGTGAAACACTGTACTTCAGATACACAGTCCTGTACGCTAACCACTAGCCCGTTTAACATACACGTTGTATGCTTGTTTTTGTAATTAAATAGTGGAGGCAACAGGCACGAGTAGTGGGGTATAAGAGTGAAAAAACACTAGAACATACACCATCCGGTCTCGTGATATGCCGCGAAGCAAGTAATGAAGCTTTATGTTTCCATTAAATCTTACAAGTGATGTTAATTAATTAAATTTTAATGGCCATGTTTTCGGTAGAGAAGATGCTGGAAAACCAAAAAGTAGGAATAACAAAGGAGGTTATTATTCATAAATATAATTCAAATTGGATTTTACTCTCTAGATAATAATTAAAAGCGTTCTTATTTTAGCTAACTGTTAATGCTATTATTTCTATGCGCGAACAATATGCGCGTTTTTGTTAGCATTATAAACATAAATGTATAGCGCAAATTCTGGAAATCACACCGTCAAATATACAAGAGCAAAACATTAAAAAAGGTTTCCAGATAACAGTTACAAAAATATAGTAACTCAAAGAGTTCTAAGCCACGTTGTCGTAACAATGGTTTGCTGTGGAGAAGGTTCTTTAGACATTATTCTTCTCGCTAGAATATTATTGGAAATTTTATAATTTGCCTATCCTTTTAAATAAACTGGTGAGATAGGTAAGTTACTCCCACTTACCCCATTCCGTGACGTATGTTTGTTTCTTATTAGCAGACAACCTTACTCAGATTTTGTGAATCATATTTTGTGTACACCAAATATGAGAAATGCCGTTAGATGGAACAGCGCCTAGTCTGTGGAAACACGTTAACTTTGTGTTGTTGTTGTTGTTTGTTGCGCAAAGCTACACAATGAGCTATAGCGTTGTGGCTGCCGCTGAAGTTTGTGTTACGTAGTTGTCACTAGAGGGCAATAGCGCTCATTAATTTTTTCTGAAACTTTCCAATACCTCAGTAATTTTATCAGAATATACTACCTTATACAGTGTTTATTAATATTTATTCAATATACCCGAAAACAGAAACTGAATAAACTAAGAAACCATTAGTTCTTTACAATTTCGTACACGGTGATTTTATAATCACCTAAGAATATATTTTGTTGAACAAGTCATATTCCTCATTTAGCCTTAGAAATGTAAAAATTACCAATGAATGCATATACCTGTTTCAGGCCCGGCATGGCCAGGTGGTTAGGGCACTCGACTCGCAATCTGTGGGTTGCGGGTTCGAATCCCCGTCCCACCAAACATGCTCGCCCTTTCAGCCATGAGGGCGTTATAATGTGACGGTTAATCCCACTATTCGTTGGTAAAAGAGTAGCCCAAGAGTTGGCGATGGGTGTTGATGACTAGCTGCCTTCCCTCTAGTCTTACACTGCAAAATTAGGGACGGCTAGCGCAGATAGCCCTCGCATAGCTTTGCGCGAAATTCAAAAACAAATATATCTATTTCAGGACCAGGTCATGAAAGTATATCGAAATATATGCATACTGACTGAACAAGGCAAGTAAGAAGAAAAATAAACGAAATGACGCTCACAGTATTTTTCTAGAGGTTATTGAAACCAGTTAGAAATGTCTTACACACAAGTGCATTGTGATGTTGAGAAAAGTAACAAATGTCTAGATATTCAGACATTTCTGAAGAAGACACACCCATACAAAAGCAAGAATACATCAGTTACGTAAGTTCCTAAATAAGTTATACCACATGTGACAAATCTTACTCAAATTCCTAAAACAACTATTAAAAGTAAAAAAAAACGTTAGTGTAAAATTCCGTCAATATTTTGTCGTCTACGTAACAACTAGTCGAATGATAATATAAACGTTGGTAAAATAAATTATTTAAACAACA